ACTTAGTTGCTGCTGAAGCTAAGTACCACAATAACTGTTATAATATCTTTCTGAGACCTACCACGGGATATAATGTCGGTCGTCCCGAAGATGATTCAGTAAACTTGGCGATGGAGGAAATATTTCAGTACATTGAAAATAATGATGATTGCCAATTTTTATTACATGAATTGAAATATATCGGCAAAAATCCAACTATAGATAATAAAACAATTAAAATAAGATTAAAGTTAAAGTATGGTGATAAAATTATTATAACTGAGAAGAAAGGAAGCTTAACAATTATCTGTTTTATTGATAATCAGTACGATATTCTTAATAAAGCTTGGTATGAAAATAAAAAACAAAATACAAACGAAGAACGATTCAGAATATTCGAGAGGATATTCAATCTGTAGTGATTGATAATGATAATTATCCCCCGCCGAGTCAAATGTTTGCGCCAAGTACATTACCTCATAGGTGGTGCGGAAATGTGTGCATATTATGTAGAATATGAATTTTCTAATGATTAAAACCGCGATATCTCATGAATGGTGAGTCGAAGAGAAATAGTGACTGAACCATTTTTGTAGAGAATTGTATGATCTACAACTTTTGTCTGATCTATTTTCACGATAATACTAACTGTTTTCGAGAAAAATGGAAAAAACCTTAATTTTATACTTTTGACCTTGAATAATTTTTTTTGCAGAAGTAGGATCGAAGGGGATTTTTGACATTTCATTTATAATGATGTATTTAACGTCTCTGCCAATTTTCAGCTCTATGCGAATTTTGGCTAAGTCAAATGCCTATTTTGACTGGACTATAAGGAGAATCAAGGCAGAAAATAATTAATACATAGCCATACACCGATCGAAGTCCAACCAGCCTTGCGATTCTGTATCTCACTTTTCGAACTCACACAGCAGGTCCCTCCTTGTAGTTTATTGTTTATCAGAGTGCCAAATCGTAAAATGACTGCTTTACTACTGATTTGAGCGCGACCGCCGCTGCGAAAACCGCTGTGTGAGTTCGAAAAGTGAGTTACAGAATAGCAGGGCAGTCACCACCGAACCCGAGCGATGGACGCCACTTCAAGCAATTTCAGTGAGTATGATGGTTCTTGTACTGAGAATAATAATATGGGAATAAACTTAAATAATTCCAGCATTTTAATACTAAGACTAAGGGATGAACTATAGTTATGTTGTAGTACGAGTAGTGAGGAAACCATCAGTATAACATGATAATAGATACGATTAAGACCAAGGTCACTAGCTAGTTGCATAGAATTTTTTGTAATATAATGAATTAGTATAATTAATTGAAGATATAAATATATAACCGGTAATTTAATGGTCGAAATGATTTATGAAGTGATTATTTAAATATGACGTAATATTTTACTCAAATTTCACGTATAATTAAATATACGTATAATTTTTGAATACTTTTGAAATAGTCACTACAAACTCAATGACAAAGACAATGAATGAAATATATGTAAGTGAATAGTGATTAAGCATTCTAAAACAATGCTGTTTATAAATATTTACTTTGCAGAAGCGAATGTATAATAATTTTTAAAGTTTTGTTACATTCGACGTTTTGCCAATTGTATTCCGAGAATTTCGAGATTCGAGAAGTTTTAAGGTAGGTTTGGTCTTATTTCCCAAATGGTCTTAGGAAATTAACAATAAAATATATTCGAATTTTAGAAATCATGTAATTGCGAACACACAAAACATTTTTTTTTATATAATAGGGGGGCAAACGAGCCTGCGGGACGCCCAAAAAGGGCGCGTTGCCGGCCTTTGAGGGAGGAGTACACTCGAATTTTGAATAATATAGGAGTCGATTCCAAAGTTCGCTAGTTTGCAAAAGAAAATGACTTGTGAAACTGTGAAAGACTTCCATCCATCAAGGTGATATTGATGGAATTTAAATTAAATTAAAAATAAATAGAATAAATAATAAAAATATATTAAAAAAGTAATTTTTAAATTTTAGACCACTATTAATATTAATACAATAATTTAATCATCGTTGTATTATGCAATACATAAATAATACAATTATAATATTTTGCTAAAGAAATTGCGCCTACATTGCATCTTTTTTATCACGTTTAATTTAGATACTATAAAAACAAAACTTACATATTATTTTCTCAAATATCTCCAGGTAACTGCGTAATTAACAAAACAATTATGTATAATTATTCACTGACATTCAACTGCCGAGACGCGACCTCAAACTGTATTGTATACTCAATGACTCGTGCGCATTGTGTATTTGAACCAATACTTGGGATAGGATATTGTCAATTGTTTTTTTGAAATGCAACAGAAACCGAAAACAATCAGCAAGTGATATAAGAGAAACGTTGGCTAGAGCGTGCGAGGTCCTGCGTTCACGGCTGTGAAATAAAGGATTTTTTAGTACTAGCTTATACGGTCAAGTAAAACTTATTCAGGTATGCCTACGACCTAAAAATCGACTTGACAATTCAATCAAGAAATAGATACAGAAGTCTAAGACCACAGATATTAGCGCCAATGGTTTTTGTACCAGAAACCAAAATTAGCGTTACTCCCATAATAGGCTTATCTGATCAGATAAGAATCCACAGTACCTAGCTTAAAGTTGGCGGATGACATACGAGCTATTAGCGTTGGTTAAACTAAAAAATCCATCTCATCATGATTTTCGTCATTTATTTATTTACACTTCGTTACCATAATATACAAAATCATACATATAAAAAAAGCAAAAAAAAAGCAGGTTACATAAGTTATTAGGCAACGGGCGGCCTTATCGCTAACAAGTGATTTCTTCCAGGCAACCCCATTGCATTTTAGCAGACAATAATTTAATAAGAGCAGTAAAAAGGGTAGTTAGACCATTGTATAGCGAAAAACTGCGACATATGAAACATACTTCGACATACATATGTTTTTTTTAATTTTGGAAATAAATTGTAATTCGTTACAAACATTCAAATATTACCTTTATAAAATTATAAATTAACTTCACGCGATGCAAATAATTTATCATACTAAACGTGATCACACATTAATTTTCATTTTTAAAGTTGTTCTGGTGGTGTACCCAATTATTTAAAGTATTCAAGAGGCAATCAGATAGACGAAGCAGTTCTATAAACTTTTGTTTATACAAAATAAAAAATCTACTCTATTCTATGTAGTTCATGAAACATGAACATATATGTTCAATTAGTTACACACAGTTAACGAACGAGCGAAAACAAAATTCAGTATTACAAATGTTTCGAAATAGGACTTGTTTGACTATAGAAAGCCTACAGGTGCATTTATAAAGAGGGTTTATCAAAATATCGCATTAAGTTATTTCACTTCTGTTCATAAAACAAAAGATAACTTTATCATGGTCGACTAGAGATTAATGTAATATTCAAATAAATTGTATAATAAATACCTAGTGTTCCTTAGTTTCCGGTATCACGTACCTAATGGCGCATAGGACAGTATAATGTATGTTTCATAGTGAGGCCTTTAGTTTGATGTCGAGACCACCATATTTTACGATATTTAAATCCAAAGTGAAGGCCAGTTTTTGCTTGTGTTTACAACTTAAAAACTATATTAATCAGGATTAACAAATTATTAAATTTAATCTAATACAAAAAGAAGGAGCTGTAACTCGTAATACTTAACAGTAATTACGTATCACAGATTACAGTTAAATATTTAAAGGACTTCTTTATTTAATGTTAAGTTCATTACTCTATGCAAATAACCGTTGAAGTTCATATGAACAATATTTTGTCAACTTACGGGCCTTAAAAATTAACAAATCATACTTGTAAGTATACAAATAAAGAAACTTCAAGTGAGATATATTTTGTTAAAAATCCTTTAAGAAACTTATGATAGTCCCAATTTTATGCTTAATGATCTAGGTATAACAAGTTTTTATAAAAATAAAACTTTTTTTTTAGGAACAAATGTATATTTCGAATTAAACGCGCACTATTGTATTCAATAAGTAAACACACTTACTATAAAAACGTGACACAATAAATCAAAATTTAATTTGAATGCAAACGATTTACACTTACCAATGTCGCAAACACATCTACATGCTTCAGTGGTAAGTGACTGACTGAAAAGCAAACATTATCTATGCATGATAATCGTTTTGATAAGGTTAGGTCATAGTACTAGTCATGTTAAACACACCCTGTGATGTGATAGACACATATGTTATTTTTATCTGTCGATTTGTTTTTTTTTGTACCTGTCAAGTCTGATTATACCTCAAAATTTCTAGATGTTGAATCTTATTATATGTGAAACTGTTCCAGGATATATCCAATATTCAAAATGTATATTGTATTTGACTTTTCTATTATGAATATGTAGGAAACAAATGAATAAATAAATAAGAAATTTTGTAATGCAAATATATGTAAAATGTAAGTAATTCAAAAGTTTTAATACTTAATAGTTTTTCATAATATCCTGAATTTAATTAAATCATTAAAGATTGTTGGTAACTTTTAAAAATTAAAACTCTTCGATTAATGATTACTATAGAAATACAGCAACAAACTAGGTCACTGATTAAACGCTGTGTTTGTTCAATTAACGAGGCGTTATTGGTTATATACAGTGACCGTTCGTGTAATGGTTATATCGGTCTAAACATGCGTTTCTATAAAATAAAAATTGTATATGCACCCATTTACAGATGAAACTGTGAAATGGCGACTTGCCAATACAATTATTATGGTCCTATGGTCTAAGAGCCAGTGCTAATTGTTGCGACAATTAGATAATCACGAGGTTATCATGATATAGTATATACGACACTTATATGAAATGTTTTAAAATAATACAATTTGGTTCAGCCGAGGTGGTTATAGTGTGTATTGCTCACTCGGTCCTCTGAGTAGCAGTGGGATTACCTTTTTGTTTTGTAAGGGTATCTTCTGCGAAACTCGGACCTTAGCTTGAGCTGTTGTGGGGTAGTTAATCGCCTGAAGGGGAGGAGGTTAGGTCTGGAGTAAGCGAAGCCTTCTCCGGTGAAGCCAGTTTTTTACCCGAATCTGATTTGAGTTCGCTTAGCTTGTTTTTAGCTATCGTGATAGGATCATCCATGTCCACTAATACGTGTCGTGTCTTGCCGTTTCGTCTCCTACGGGCCTTTTTAGTCGGGAGGGGTACCTGGAGTGAGTTGAGTCCTAAATACCTCCGTACACGTTCTATACTATTCATTTGGAATATAGCTTTAAACATTTGAATATTTAATAAAATAAAAAAGGGCAAAATATATCACCATCTTTTAGACTATTAGTAAGTGGAGTACGCTAAACAACTCTAAAGCTCACGGTAGATTACCTTTGTGGGAGATAAAGTGTGCCAATTTTTGAAGAGCTATTTGTTTTTACTGTTGCAACATATCTGTAATTTGCTAGTTTTCCGGAAATTTTATGAGACATTTTAGTAGTTTTACGAGTACCTACAGACTCGCTGATAAGTAATATTATTACTGAAGGGTAGAAAATGTTGCTGTGAAAATAACCAATCTTTGATGAAAATAATAAAATGTACTTAGTTGATTTTCTATTTATGACTAGGTAGGAAAGGCATCATAGCCTATTTTTTATGTATTAAAACAAATATAAAAATTGATGTGATGGTGGAAGAAAAATTGGTTACAATTTCTCCGTCCACCATAAATCATTCATTTTCTAAAAATTATAAATTTCTACTAAATACCCTAAGTACCCTAACTAACACTAGCGACTCTTTTGTCGTTTTCAAGGCCGAAGTGCAACCTGACACAATTGTCAGTGCACAATGAATAAAACCCAGTAACGCCAGGATGCTGATGAGACCACGTACGTTACATGTACGTAACCTCCTAAGGTACAAGAGACCAATTTATTTAAAACAAAACCATATTTACTTTTTATGTATAGGGCACAACTATTAATTGCTGGATTTAGGAGTTTTAAAATATTAATATTTTCTAGTCAAAGAGGAGGGTGAAGTTCAGTACTATATACAATCATTTAAGCTGTTTACTGAACGCGAGGATTTTGAAGCGATACATCAATGTTTGTAGATTGCGATCGTATGTGCTTAAAGTTTCATACAGGAAATTGCTAGTTCCAAATAAAACTTTGATATAATTTTGAATCTAGATTAAAAAAGTATTATAGACCTAAGATTCAGAGACGGAAAACGACTCCCACATGTCAAAAACACAAGAGTTACACTTAGCACTTTGTTATAGGTATATGATTAGCCATCGGTGTCTGATATACGCCGTCAGATTTTCGGTCTCAGACGTGGTCGTACGAGAAAATTGGTGCAGTTTAGTTTGAACGATTGACACTCGAACTAACCCTGAAGAAATACTTGAAAAACTCCGAACCCGATAATAATTTTCAAGCATAGTATATAAAATGGTTTAACTTAACAAAATGGAGCCTTTCAGTAGTAACATTTCGCTAATAAAAAATTTGATAGGATAAAGGTATTAGTCGGTAATCTTTACTCGACTAAAATCTCTCAAGAAAATTCCGCTCCCGCTGCTACGTGGTAGATATTTGTTAACATTATTATGATTTAACGACTTGAAAATCATAACATCAATAAATGTTTTATATATTTAAAAAAAAACTATAATTGTTGACTTCGTTCACAAAGAAGCAACTCCATATTGTACATTTAGAGAAGTATGAATTTAGTTCAATTCGTTCAGCCAGTCTATAATGATTAAGTGAGATTTTTTGGCGGCTTTATCAGCTTCTCGAAACAATCATAGTTTTCAGAAACCAAACCAGAACCATCTGGTTATACAGGCGTTTATGATCTTTAAGTCTTCAAGTTCTTTCTTAAGAAAGATTATAATTGTCGCAAAAAAAGACAATTTTTATATGAACGCAATTGGTAATAAAAAAATACATATGTAAAAAAAGAAAAAAATCTCATCACCTTCCTCTTGAAAGCATTACACGGTAGTGCTCTGTAATATCTGGGAAGGTGATACAATAGTATGCCATGGCGTAGCATTTTTGAAGTGAAACTTCTTTATCGAAGTTGGAAAAAAATTTAGTGTAACATTTTTTCGTTACGCGTCACATTTTTCGGTTACGCGCCATGTTGCTTTTTGAAGTCAAACTTCTTTATCGGCGTTGGAATGAAACTTCTTTATCGACGTATGGGAGAAATTTTGTAGCAAATCGTCACGTTTTTCAATGATAGTAATAATTCTATTACAATTAATGAAATTCTATAATAATCTTCGTAGTAATAAGGTAAAATGAAATATTTGTATTCATGTCTATGATAATAAAAGCCTTTTGTTAAACTTTATCTAATTTAACGAATTTCTGTAAAGTTGCATATAGTAGATCATTTTTCGAAAAATAAGATCATGAAGAAGTTTCACTTCTTACGTGTGTACACCTAGTACACGCACAATTTATTTTTTTATACAGTGCGGTTCTAGATACTGTGATTATAGTAATAATGTGTTTTTAATGCCACTTTGTAAGTTCGACTCAAAGCAAATACAATTTATTAAGACGAGAAGAGTATTTATAATAAAGGTACTTACTTAGTGTAATTTATCGCGTTCAACACAATAAATAAAGACCAATTAAATGAATATACTAGAGGACGCCTTTTATAGGAATATTCAGAGCTCTCCGACGGTAACGTCACAACTGTACGCGGTTTTGTATGACGCTAACACTTGTGATACGTGACTGACGTATTCGATTTTGAGCGTCACTTTTGTCTTCATCACTCGTAAAAAATAAACGGGACAAAACTTTTCTAAGCTAATTGAAATCAAAATATATTTATTAATAAGATTGTTAGTATCTTAGGTGTTATGTACTAACTGCTCATAGGTACCATGTTTAACAGATCAAGAGAGTCTGGTCCTTGTCATTCTGATATAGTCGCGAACGGTAAGTCTTGATAAATATATGCTAAATCGGCCTCGAGAAATAATAATATTAATTACGTTAGTTAGCAGTGTTGGCCTAGTGGCTTCAGCGTGCGACTCTCATACCTGATGTCGTAGGTTCGATCCTCGGCTGTGCACCAATTGACTTTCTTTCTATGTGCGCATTTAACAATTGCTGGAACGGTGAAGGAAAACATCGTAAGGAAACCGACATGTCTTAGACCCAAAAAATCACCTACTTGCCTATTAGATTTAAAAATGATCAGGAAACAGATTAAAAAATCTGAGGCCAAGATCTAAAGAGGATGTAGCGCCACTGATTTTTTTAATAACGTTGTTGGTTTCAAAATCAAATTCGTAATTATGCAAGTAAATATAAATGTACACAGTAAAAATATTCTATTATTTTATAGTCTAAACTAAAGTCAAACTGTCGCCCGGATTACATATATTTGACATAAGACGTCACGGATGAGAACCATTCCATAGAAGTGTCTAGATCTTTCTACTAAAAGTTAACGTAAATAATTAAGTTATTCGGCCCCACATGGAGTACTGTTCTCACCTCTGGGCAGATGCTCCCCAGTACCAGCTCCTTCCGCTTGACCGTGTTCAACGAAGAGCGATTCGAATCGTCGACGACCAGTCACTTTCCGAGCGGCTTGATCCATTGGCTTTGCGTAGAGATGTGTGATCTCTCTGCATCTTCTACCGCATTTACTAAGGAGAGTGTTCAGAGGAGTTGTTCAGACTAATACCTGCAGCTGAGTTTCATCATCGGTCGTCAAGGCAGAATACAAAATACCATCCGTATCACCTCGACATCCGTCGTTCCACAACTAAGCGTTTCTTAAGGCAATTTCTGCCGCGCACCACCACTATGGTGAACCGGTCGGTCCTTACCTTAGGGTCCTTCAAGAAAATAGCGTACCAATTCTTAAAAGCCCAGCAGCGCGCTTGCGAGCCTTCTGCCCGTCTGCCTCCTGTAACATAAAAAAAAATCGTATTTTTTATTAGGGATTTTTTGATAAATAACTCATTATTTACAAATTATTTAACACTGTCTTCTCAGTTGTATTCTACATTGCTGAAAGTCGTGTCACTGTAAGATGCCTGCGGCCCTGCTAGTGATAGTGAAGAGACCACTTTGTTCAGTCTATAGCTTCCCTTAGCGTAGCCGTAGAGAACATTTAAGAGGAGGAACAGAGGTTAACGGACCTTTTTCATTGTCCGTTGTATAAACTGTCAAAAGTTCTATTATTTATTAGTGTCTTTAGTAGTTAGTTATTTTCTTGTTTTAGTTAGTTAATTTTATTCACTTATTTTGCACTCTTGTCAAATAAAAATAAAATCATAGTATGTTAACACCATAACGGTGTTTAAAGCCTTTTACACAGATTACTCTAAATAACACTACTCTCAAATAGGCCATTGCATATAAAAACGGCTGGAACGCTATATGAAGGTATAGAATACCGGTATTTAAAATACTTTCTAGCGTTTCTAACAACTCTAAGCATTACAGAAGATGTAGTTTAATTTGTCATGAAAAACCGCCATTTTGAGCCCTTCTTTCTCAAGTTCATCAACGATAAATTCATCTGACCTCATCCAATGCACTTAGCACCAGCTCGTGGCGATAAATACATCCTCTATGGGATTATATTGGCCTGAGGCCAATTTTAATTTCGCATAGTGTTGCATACTCCGGACGAGGTATGGGCGTGTTCTTTGGTAAATACACTAAGAGGCTGAATACATCTATCCGCCGCTGATAATGATTGATAAAATAATTATTTGTTTCAGACCATTGATTACTACTTTCTTAGATGGCTTATTTATAATTCTTCCAAACAGTAACACAAAGTAACTAAATGCTAATCTATACATTTATATTTAATGTTGAAACTGTCTTCCGATTTTGTTGGTTTTGACTATTAATTTACTTAGCAGTGGATACCATCAATGGAAAAGATATTATGCATTTTTGACCGACTTTAAATATTGACGGATAACGTTAATGATACGACGTGTAATTTTAGTGTATATTAAAGAAAAATCCAAAATAAAAGCTTTGGAGATTCTGAAACATTCATTGAATTCAATTCTTTGTGATAATTATTTTATTTTTATTATCCTAATTAAAATGTAACAGTGTTTATCTTTATTTTCTACTGATTATATATTGAAATATATAATTATTAGAATAGTCATAGATTATATATATTAAAAATAGAAAATAAATAAAAAGGAACAGTTTAATGATATTAACTGACAAGTTCACCGTTTAGATGTGCGTTGTCCCTAACTC